ACGGTTGATAACGATGTAAGTCAATGGATATCTTGAACCGAATGATGAAAAGCAGAGAGTTTGATATTGAAGTTCACTGTTTGTTTCATGATTTGAAGATTTGAATTTCAAGAAACTAAAAGACATGTATTCATCGTACAGATTTCAATCAATGTCTTTAAAAAATATCTTGTAGTGGAATAATTTTAGTAAAAAATTCCTTTAGGAATAATGTTGTCTATCACTTCTTCTAATTTCCTATGTAAAGATGTAGTGTGATGTGTTTCTTCATTATCTATTTACTTGTTTTGCTTAGAATCCCTTTTTTTCCCTATATCTAATTTGCAGAAGATTGAGAAGTCAAAATAAACTTAATTTTTTAACATTGTAACTTGATCATTAGTCTTTATACCTTCCTCGTTTATATAGTTAGTCTTGTTGTTTTGTGTTTCTACATTTTCTCTCGTGCTAAATTTTCTTGGTTTTCTTTTTTGTTATTGTTCAGTTGTTGAAATTCTTATTTTTAATCTATTAGGAGAATATGTCTCTCGTTTACCTTTGAAGATCCAAGTTTCCTCTGTTATTAAAATGCATACAGAATAAATGTGAAGATCTTATCTATATCTTAATCCTACAAGGTATCCTAGAAATCGTTAAACAAAAAAGAAATGTTTAGTTCCATCGTATTTTAAGTAATGTAGAATGAAGGGTTTAGTTATTTCGATTTTTCTCTTGATTCTGGACTTTCTATCATTAGAATCTTTCAATCTTATTTCTAAATACTTGTTCAAAAAGAATATCCCTGTCTTTCGGCTATCTTGTGGTGTGGGATGCTGCCTAGCGGCAGATTCAATAGCCCAATATTTTTCCTACAACTATGACTGGCTGTAGTCCTGGCCAGAAGGACGGTCAGACGCAGAGTTCTTTCAGTCAATAGCTTGAGCTTCTCATGCACACTAACTAACTACATACTAGCTACAAGGGTCGGTATATGTAGCAACGTAGTCAACATGCTATTGGGCAGGTGGTCCGAGACAAATAGCTGTTAGTAAATTGTCTAGGATCATTTCATGGTTGGTAATACTGAGGTTCGAACACAGTAACTTGTGGATACGTGTGGAACAACATAGCCCTCAGTCATGGCGGCTCAATGCTTGTTGAGATATTTCTTACAACAAAAAATCGTGTAATATTGCTAAGTTTAAAGACTAAAATTATTTATCTCTTGCAATTTACTGATTATGAACGTCTTGATTATGTTGAAAACAAATCGTCATGAAAAATGTATCGTGAACTCTGCATATAAAAGAAAAATGTTAAAAAAAAATAATTTATAAAACAAGAGTAAAAGATTCAGATGATGATAATTCAAGAATTACAGAAAAAATTTGAAGTAACCAATTGGAGGTGTTGCATGTCGTTTTCCCATTGTAGAAAAAGGTTCAGTTTACTATTGAAATCAATATTAAGCATTGATTTTAACGAAAATTTATAAACTTTATCTTTACAAATAAAAATCTGAAACATTCTTCAACTGCTAGAAAAAAAACATGGTTAGTTGACTGAAACACAATGAAGATAAATGAGCTCCTTTTTGCTATGGGACACCTGTGAAGTCATGCAGAATGATGAACTAAAGGCCTTTTTTTTAGTATTAAATATACTCTAGGCAATAAAAAAAAAGTACAATGACAGAGTATGAAAGATGAAAAGCTATTCATTTCTTTTGTATTGTTAACATACACAAAGAGAAACAACTACATTAATATTCAATGGAGCATCGCACAACTTTGTCGTCTGTGCTAGTAGAAAATATTTCCACCATAATCAAAATATATAATAACTTGTTCATTTTCTTTATTTTAATTTTCTAACATGACTTAATGTTGAGTTTGATAGAACGTAAGAAATTAATAACATTTCAGATTAATTAGTTTTGTGTTTAAAACGCTTCTATACTACTAAATAAAAAACTACTTTTATATTTTTTTGTTAGAAGTTTCGCTACACTTTCAATCAATAATTTAATTCAATATGAAAATGAATATGCAAAAATTGAACGAAGTGCTATGTTGTTCGTTCGTACCAGTCGTATTCTTAACAAATAATTTAATTATTGACTATACGAAGAAAAAAACCCTAGCTAATAATAAAAATGCATATATAATACTGCTTACATATTGACAAAATATCCAGAGTTGTCAAATCTTTCAAATTGATTAGAAAAAGCTTCGAATTGTAGTATTTATGTAGATTTTAATTTCAGGAGCAGGGTTACCAAATAGATATTTTCGAAATCAGGAAGCATTCAATGACGTTTTATAGTGGAAAGCTTACAATTTTGTTTGCAGAAGCGTTCGTTACTCTCTTCTAATAAAGAAGTTCAACTAAATTTTGTCGCACATATTTTATATTATTAATTTTTTCATATATGTTCATGAAAATATACAAAAAAACTAAACATATAGAAAAAAAAAGAGCTATTTATTATACTGTGCATAGTACTTTTGCAACATAAGAGTAGTTTTCTGATGATCGAGTTTTTAAAAAAATTTGGTTTATGTAAGAGATATTTTTATAATATTCTGTAAAATTGAAATAAGTCTTCCTTTTAATTTTTAATTCAGCGCAAACAAGATTATTTTTCATTTTGTTTCGACTATTATTCTCCAAAAATTTTACATGCAATAAAAATAGATATACAAAAGGTATTTGAGACCGATATTGATAAAGTAGATTGAACTAAGTTTTGTAAATAAGGTACATTTTCATTCTTAAGAAGATAAGCCTACAGCTGGTCGCATCTGATTAGCGGATGTTTCTTCTGTCCTGTATGAAATCTAACATCACATTGTGATGTTTGAGCATTTTTCTTGTTGCTTAAATATGTCATTACGAGTTAAGATGAAGAAAAAAACAAGAATCAGTAGAGAATCTTGGAAAATAGCTCCTGGTAGCAGGAGATTTTTTTCACTAGAAGAAAGGCTAAAAAAGACAGAATTCTCTCGGACAAATCAAAAGGTTTGGTAAACTCGCTCAGAATATTTTGGTTAAAATTTTTACTGTAACTGTTGTTAGCAATAATTGTGCCACATTTATTATGACATTGTGATTAAACAATTGAACGTTCTAAAGCTACTGACTTACAATGCAATATATACCCTTGTTTTAATCTAAAGACGTGCCGCAACAAACTAAACATCCGAAATTCATATACAAGTCATTTGAATAAACAATATTTTTCAAAATGAACTCAGCGTAGAGTTTTGAGCAAATGCTTTTTATAGATTAATTCTTACATTTTAGACTCAATATGAATGATCAATTTGAAGATTCAAACATAAACATGAGTAAGATTAAAGAAGAAAAGACAACTATAACAGCAGCAATCTTCACAGAAATATGAACAACATTTGTTTCCCGTTAATAAAAGAATATTCATCATAGTTACAATAAACAAAAAATTATTATGCACGTGTTTGATGTCTACATGTTACATGACTACGTTTCAGTATTCTTGTGAATTTGTCCGAAAAAAAAGTACTAATTCTATAAGTAAAGAATTTCATTATTAGGTTTTTAATGTCGTAACCATGCAAATATGCTACACTTATCAATAAAAAAACGTTTAATTTAGGAAATTTGCTCATGGTTATATTCTAATCAAAACAAACAAAAATAGTTTTTTTTTTCTCATGAAAATCATCTTTATGCGTTTGTATTAAGGCATGACTAATAACGGCTATAATTTGCTATTAAAAAATTTTTAAATCTGCCTTTTATATCGATTTGAATCAAAACAACTAATCAAACTATTACTTTAATATCCAGTGTTAAAAAGATCTAAATAACGTAGTTTCCAAATTGCGACCACTTTGATTAATTAGCTGTTGAAAAATTAGATTATGAGTTCTTTTTCTTGACAATATTAATATATAATGATGAGAACAAATTCTGATATGTGGACGTCCATTAATGAAGTGAAATCATTGAAAGAGTCTGTTTTGCGTCGTTATCAGCAAAAACAAGCACAAAACATGACGACAAGACCAAGAAAAGGAAAAAAATATACAAGATGATAACAAATTTATGTTAGCGAACAAAAAATTGTTATATAAACGAGATCAAAATTTTGATGCCTATCAAAAAGTTTTAAGAATTGTTTCTCATCATCACATCAGCATTATAAAAGATGCTATAGATAGTACTGATGAAGAATATTTTTTTTTTGTTATCTATTTGTTTTGTCAATAAATGCTTTTCTCAATTAAAACTAATGATTACTCCATAGAAAAAAGTGGTCGCAATTCGAACATAGCCGTAAATAATCATTCAATATATTCAATTTCTAACAGCAACAAATAGTACTTTAAAACTGTAGAAATGCTTTTCTTTAGGCGCTCTCGGTATAAAATACAGATAGCATAGATTTTTTTCTAGAATACATACTAAAGTCGCCTATGAAAGTTTAATAGTTATCATTGATGTGAAAATGGTACAACTTCTGTAAATTTTCGTTCACAGTCAAAGACTTCAAGGCTTCTATTATGTTCAAGTATACAAAGTTTACACGATGTCTTCTACTGCGTCTAGTTTATTTTCATAATTTTAATTCAAAGATATTTAAAAAAACAAAACAATTGTCAGAATTTGGGAAGAGAGTTTTAGAATTTTCAAAGCTCAGAAATAATGTTTACTGAAATCTTTTAAGATTTTTCAGCTAAGAACTTTAAAACCTAGATATATTTCGAGATAAATATACTAATGAAAATTTCAGTTTAGCGACAAATTAATTAGAGAAGCTTTGCACTAGGATGTAACGGATCGTTCCTTCAAGGTAATCTTCTAATGCGTTGGAAATTTTATCTAAAGCTGAGAGATCCCATTCAATAAACGTCTAGTATATTGATACTCGGAGCACCTTCGACATATCCTCTACTTTCAATATAAATAGCTTATTAGATACATTTTTTTTGCCATTTATCTTTAGTAGAGTCATATTCACTGTTTTTAAAAGTAAGATGTCGGAATTATCATATAACGAATCTCTTATCATATTATTACACTATGTTTCAAGTCAATTTAATCGTTATATTTCAATTTTTATTTTTATCTTTGGTGTTGTGGGAAACATTCTCAATATATTTGTCCTTTCACGACGATCACTTCGTTCTAATCCATGTGCTTGGATTTTTCTGGTTGCATCCATTGTTAATCTCATTTCTATTCTATCTGGTCTTATCACAATAATGATAGGTGGTTGGGTGGCTAATCCAGCTGGTTATATCGAGTTACTTTGCAAAATTCGTTCTTTTCTTGTATTCACAACAAGAACAATCGCTCCATGGCTAATCGCATTAGCCACGATCGATCGATGGCTTTTGTCAAGTATCGATGCTCATCGTCGACAGAGAAGCACATTAAAGAATGCTCAACGATGGGCAATAGTTATTGTCATTCTTTCAATTCTTCTCTATGCTCAATTGTTCTATTGCTATGAAGCAAATCGTGTCAACGAACCTCTGGAATGTTATGGTAGTACAGCTGCATGTCGTTATGTCACGGATTTATCATTTTCTCTGATTACAATTTTATTTCCTTTATTTTTTATGATTTTATTTGGTTTGTTAACTATCTCAAATGTACGTCAATCTCAACGTCGTATTCAAGCATTAAAGTTACCGAATATTAAGTCTCCTATGAATAAATTGTCAGAATCAACTAATGGAAACTCAGAAGTAAAATTGAAACGGAAAACAGATCATAGTCTTCTTCGAATGCTTCTTGTTCAAATTTTTCTTATCACTATTCTTACTTTTCCATTATCTCTTCAAAAATTTTATTCATCTTTCGCGAAAGAGATTAAAACTCCAGTAGGCATGGCCATCAATGACTTTGCATATAATCTATTCGTTTTACTTTATTTTGTATCAAATGGCATGCCTTTCTATATTTATACATTGTGTGGTGGAGTGGTGTTTCGAAAAGCATTGTATGATTTTGTTTTGATGGTGAAAGGAAAAATAATGCATCGATAGAATTATGTATTTTGAATGAATAATAAATTTTTTGATTGATGATGAATCATCAATCACTCATACAGATTTATTTTTTATTGCTTTCCTCTAAAATAATATAGCTTTTACGGAGAAATTGTAATTTACACATGACAGACAATTCTATCTTTCAAGTTAATTCAATTAGATCATATCAAATAGATTAATGTTGGCTTAAAGAAGCATTCTGAATTAAAGTTATTCGAAGTAATATATAAAAGTTTCGAAAAAATTTCTACCTTCAAAGTGACAACTGTGAATTTTCGTAGCATTGATCATTTAATCTATTTACTTAAACACTAATGTTATACATCCAATGGACAAAAAGCGAATCTCGGCATGCTTCGCAGTCATATTGAATCCGTGCTGTATCTGAGTAATGATACTTAGATACAACTAAAAGCTTTGACAATGTTGCTGGCAATTCTAGAAACCAGTTAACATCTATGAGTCTGTTGTGCAAATGAATGGTAGAATGTCTTATCTATAATAGTATATATCATAAGTCCATTTTGGATTTAGTTCCCATATTCTTTCAGATAAGATTCAGTTGTAACAAAGAAAAATTGTGAAGAAATCGATAATGAATTCAGTTGATACTATATGAAGATTCGAACTATTTTGAAGATTGATTCAATGACAATTCACGAAGAATTCCCAGCCGTATTAGAACCTTCAGATGCATCACATCGAGCAGTTGCAAGGTAGACAAAGCGTTTTCATGAAGGAAGAGTAGATATCAATGATGACTCTCGATTTGGTCATCCCATTTTCTAGCTGACAGATGTAAATGTTAAACTGATACGACAGATTATCAACAATGATCTGCATTCAACTTATGATGATATTATAGCTAAGACCTCTCTCTGTCTCACGAGAAACTAAATGAATTACCCACAATTGACCAAGATGAGCAAAGTTACATAACGCTGGATAACTCATGAACTATAAGGTGAACAAAAGTAAGACAGAGTTACAATTTGTCGTGAAAATTTGACGAAACTTCATGATGAATCATAGCAATTATGTGATAATATTACAAGTGATGAGACATGGAATTTCCACGGATAGGTTTGGATGCAAGTTAACTAAAGCAAGCCAGAGGAGAACGTGAGTGTATTTCCAATGACTATTTTTCGAGAAAGTGACTTTGAACCAAAAAACTTTATTTTCTATATTCTCTAAATCAAATGATTCTTTTCTTATATAAAGTATAGATAAAGATAAGCCTATAGATCAAAATTATTATTTTGAAAATCGTCTCAATCCTGTTGTTAATGAAATCTGGAAACAAAAAGAAAATCATAAGAAAAAGATATAAAATTGCTTTATGGCAGTGGTCGACCTCCTACCCTAGTGAAAGTACTCGTCCAGTGAGTACTCAAAAAGTACTCACGCTAGAAAATGCCGCGAGTATTCATGAGTACTCGCGACTTTGAATACTCATCAGTAGTACTCGTGCTGGATTTAGAGCGTCTGAGTACGACTATCGAGTACTCGTCTTGAGAAATTGAGTGTTTTCCGAGTACTCACTGTACATTTTCTGAGTACTCTGATGAGTTTTTCGTAAAATACTCATTAGCCTATATTTCGTCCAGCATTATTGTACTCTATTCGTTTTATTTCATTTATCAAGAAGTAGTGAAGCACAAAAGTATATTATGAAATTTCAATCTTCAATGTCAATGAACGAGTTTCATCTATGTTTGATATCTCGAAGAGATCTATCGAAAGATTGAAGAGCGAGATGCAAGAAATTGAACACGAGATGATTGGAAGCAAGAGGAAAATAGATGAGCAGAAACAAGAGATGGAGAATCAAAAACTTCAAATCATTCATCGACTGTGAAATTTACGATCAAGATCATCATCATTGGCATTGTCACCAAAACCTAGCACTAACACCATGGCAACCAGTGCTCCTTTTCTTAATCCGCCACGAAAACTATTAAATCCAGGCCGTCCATCCATCACTCTGACCGCGAACTGCAGCACGAGAATGTTCAGTGAAATCAATTTAACCGAAGAGTAATATCAATATGAACATATCGTTTAGATATCATGGTCATTGCCTTTTGTCAGAGCGAGTCTATTCTACTGTTAGCAAAGTTCTTATTCGGATTCTGGATTAGAATGCTGATTTTTCTATCCGGTTAACGATGCTACTATGGCATTGAATGAGAAAACTTGGATTTGAATGCAAGCGAACGTCGAAAGTCATCGTACTGTTCGATACACCCACATGTATGGTTGCGTGTGCACGCCACTTTACTGTCATCGATGAACTGCGCAGAAATGGTCCAAGATTTTTCGCATGATGAGACATGATACAACAAGAATGAAAATAGACGTTTTATTTGGACTGATGAAATGCCAGGTGCAGATCGGATGTGGCACAGTCAGAATAAAAGTATTCATTATTTCTTTTGTAATTGAGTGATTAATTTTTATCATTATAGGCACAAGACTAGAGATTTCTGCTCTTATAAATAAATCAGGTTACTACAAGAAAACAATAGACATGTTCGAGCGTGACGAGAATCATAGTATGGACACGCGACACTTGGTGACCTGGATTAATTGAACAGCTTCTCTTTTGAGAGAATAACTCGGTAGTATGATTTATAACCTTTTACCATGAATCTCATCGTTAACATATCTAGGAAAGCATGTAAAGATTGGCTTGCCTATTGATAATGCGACTTGGCATAACCAACTTACTGAAGACACAATCCCCTCTAAGAGAGAATGACAGAAAAAACTTATCGTCCAGTGGCCGGNTGGATTGGAACCAATAACAAAATTTCTTAAATAAAAATAATCTGTTGCTGCTTTAAAATTTGTATGAGATGACAAATAATTATTAATATAATCAAGTGTTCGATTGAAACCAAGTGTATTAATAGCTCGAGTACCATTTGCATTCGTTGCTATATTTTGTAGTTCATTAAGATGCATCATTACATCAGAAATTTCAATCGATTCAGCATATTGGGAACCGAGGGATAAGTTGTCTGTTGTTGTGCTTTTTAATCGGTTAACAACAACACCCAATGTAGCTGCAGCAAGAGCAAGAGTGACAAGTGTCAGAATAATTGCAATGCAGATAGCAATTAGTAGAGATTTAACACGTTTATTCACTGAATATATCACGTTTTCTTTATTTTCATGAGGTATTTCATTTGAGACTTGATTGTTTTTCATGATGATTCAATCGATTATGGTTTAGGAACTCAAATGGAAAATGAATTACTACTACGAGAAGATTATCGATGATATTTATAGCAGAGAAAAATCTTTGGACCTTCGTCATATTTTCTTTTAGGAGAAACGCAATATAATGATTACACTTAAATGTTGAGTGTTTGTCAACCAGAATATATTCTACCGTAAAATAATCGAAATCCATTGATAGAAAAAAATGATATGTGATATTTATGATGTTCGTTTATAATCATAGAAGTAGTCATATTGTTGTTTTAAGTAAGAATATTGGCTTGTTGTTTTGTTTTCAGTAAGAATATTGTCTTATTATTTTGTTTTCAGATCATATACACTTGTATTTTTTAATAGATAAATATAAGCACCAATAAAATGTCAAAGAAAAAAGGTAAATGAACTGTTTATCTACATCATAAATAGAATGAAAGAATTTTCATAAGGTAGTAAAAGAATTTATACTCGGCTTCTATTTATATGAGTAGAACGAAATAATCGTTGAAACATTGTAATTTGTTTTTAATTTTTGAAAGGAAAAGCTATGAATTTTATGTTTCGTAATTGTTTTCGCTGTTTACAAGAGAATCTCAACACTAAGAATGAAGAGAATATGACAATAGGAAAATCTGCCTCACAGTTTATCTGTTTATCTCTTTAAATATCATATCTCTAGTTATTTTTCAAAACGATAGTAATATTCTTTTACATAAGATAATATTCTATGCCTTTCAAAACGTTCGAAAACTGCAGTTCTTCCGCTTAATTTATTCATATCTCAATGCATGAATATTTTTAAATTCATACAGTTATTATCTTGTGACTAACTGGAAGTGCTTGTGGTAGAGTATCGTTGTTTTCTGTTCATCCATTATAAATACCAAAGATATAATTAGGCTAACCAAGTCTATCATAATTAAGATTAATCAAGTAATTATCAAGAAGTTCGCCAACACCCAAGCAGTCAAAAAAGTTAAATTGACATGTTATAACGACCGTTTTGCGTTTTATCTTGTAACATGGTAGAAGAGACAAACGATTAAAACGCATTTTCGAGATCAACAGTTTAAAACGCGTAAAATCGGATATTTTTGACTGTGTACAACGCATTTAAACTAGGGAAGAATGGATGTAACTCACATACCTTAATATTACAAACAACATTAAAATACAGTATTTACTAATAAATAAGAGATACCAGGTAACGTCGGTTCGAAGAAAGTCGGAAGTTAAAAAGCATATAACAGTAATGTAGTTTCATTTCTTTTCAGAGAATAGGTTCATGGTCATGTAAATGTAAATATCGAGTGATAGCCGTGTAGCAATTTTTTTTAATTTTATTTTATCTTCCAAATAATAAAAAAAAATTTACAAGAAAAGCTAACTCAAGTATTAAGGATCTCATACATTCTAAATTTAAATTGCCGGATCTTGCTTATTCACTAGAAGATGTTTTCACTATTTGGAAGGTAAAATAAAATGTTAAATTTCGCTAGAAGACTATTGCTCGATTATTTACAATTACATGACCATGAATCTAATCTCTGAAAAGAAATGAAACTACACTATTGTTGTATGCTCTTTAACTCCTGACTTTCTTCGAATCGATGCTACTTGGTATGTCTTATTTACTAGTAAACACTGAACCTTAATATTGTCTGTAATATGAAGGTATGTGAGTTATATGTATTCTTCCCTAGTCTTAGCCACAGTTCTTACTTATTGGATCTATTTAAAAAGTTTTTCGAAACTAAATAACGAAGTAG